CTATGCTTTGTATGCTTTGGGACACACTTATTCTAATCTCACATACTATTTAGGATGGATAGTATGAACAAGAGATAGTTAAAATGAAAACTCTGCTGGACTCTTTTCTTTGCCCTCTGCTGCCACCTTCAGGAAAATTAATGAAACGAGGCAAAACGTATCCTGTCAAATTAAACAAAATAAAAATAATCTGAAATTTAATGAGATTTTATCATAATATAATTACAATAAAACTGAATCAAGCATAATTGTTTCAATTAGTGTTATTTATATACTATTGGGTGTTTATTCATATTTATTATTTGCATTTATTTGTATATTTTCAGTGCTCATTTTTCGTTTACATTGTAGTAATGTGCTTTTGTCATTTTATTAGTGTTTTAAATATTTTTGTTTAGCTTTATTTTGCAACATTTTTAATTTTCATTTTTCATCTAATTTTTCTTTTTTTTTTTTCTCCAACATTATTTCATTTACCAAAAGTGAACCGATTGGCTTTTCTTCACTGCCATGTATCTTTGCACTTCAATAAAGTTTTAGAAGAAAATGAGTATTTTTGAATATTTGTTGTTTTCAGGTGTGGCAGATCCCAGAGAATGGTTTGGTGACCTCCATGTCAGAGCCAGTGGTGATGCTGGAGGGTCATTCTAAAAGAGTGGGAATCGTTACCTGGCATCCCACCGCCCGCAACATCCTGCTCAGTGCAGGTGAGACCTGAAGCCTCACCTGATCCATCAGGGAGAAGGAAACTGGATAGAAACCGCAACAAGAGCGGACAAGAAATAATAGGGAACGGAGAGGAGACGGGGTTGAGGAAATGATACACCGCAGTCTCGGTTGTGTTCGCGTTTTTAATGTTTAGGCACTGTTAGATCCTGTCAGAAAATATCTGTTTTGTCTAGTAACTGAACAACTAGTCGGCAAAATTGTCTAATACCCAAAACCTGTTAACAGCAAGGCCTGTCTGCTACCCAAAAGCAATGTTTAACAGTCTTCTATCAGCCAAGAGTTGACTGAGTAAAGCCAGAGAAGAGCAGAAATAAGAGACGAAGTGATGATGATGACAAAAAGGAGCAGAGTTTATTGTATAATCTTTGTTTCAATGCTTAGACTTCGTCTGACGAACACAAATCCAGCAAGTAGTGTTATACCAAACTAATTCACAACAACATTCCATAAACCGTGAATTTCCATGAGCATGCCCTCTTAATCATTCAGACAAAGCAGTTCATGAAACCCCACAATCATAAGATCAAACAATAATAGAAATGCATAAGCAAGAAAAATAATAAGAAATATAAAATGTAAAAACATAAGAAAAAGTTAATAAATGATACAAATGATAAATTATAAAAATAAGCAAATGATAAATTATATAAATGGCTAATAAATGATTCTAAATGAATAAAAACAAGAAAAATAAAAACACAACACAAATGTATGATTGCTCTCTTGATGCAACACGCAGTTCTTTTAGCACGCATTGTTGCTTTTATCAGTGTCTGTCAAAAAAGGGGAAAAGCCACCCCAGCTGCTTTCTAATAAATAGCATCTTTAACATGATTCAAACGTGATTATTTGCCCATCTCGTCTGCAGGCTGTGATAATGTGGTTATCATCTGGAATGTGGGGACGGGAGAGGCCATGATTACCCTGGAGGACATGCACCCTGACATCATCTTCAGCGCCTGCTGGAACCGCAACGGCAGTCTCATCTGCACCGCCTGCAAGGACAAGAAAGTCCGGGTCATCGACCCTCGCAAGGAGGAGATCCTTGCGGTGAGTGCTTGCAAATAGGCGGATACTATTTATGAATTTGAATTGTAAACTCTGAATAAAGTCGTTTCTGAACTGACGTGTTTCTCTGGCTTTTGTGCTGATGTGTTTGCTTGACTCGAAAAGCATTCAGCCGCTCAGTTGGAGTGAATGTGTGCAGTGTTGTCATGTGTAATGGTGTGTCTCGCTGACAGGAGAAGGACAAGGCTCATGAGGGTGCCAGGCCCATGAGAGCTATTTTCCTGTCTGACGGCAAAGTGTTCACCACTGGTTTTAGCCGCATGAGCGAGAGACAACTCGGCCTTTGGGATCCGGTAAGTTGCCATGGAAAAAGTAGACCTGCTCACCTGCTCATGAATAAATTCCAAGACTAGCCTAAATTAGACCTTTCTTGTGTTTTCCGCGAAACATTTGGGATAATGTAAGTACACAAGTCAGCAAAATATATAACACTGTTCTAGTGGTTTTTGGATATTTGAATAAAAAAATCTTACATATTGTGCCTTTAAGAAAATAACATACATTTGTACTTTTTAATATAATTAGACCTCATATTTGCTCTGTTTGTCTGTCAGGACAATATGGAGGAGCCAGTTTCTGTCCATGAGATGGACACCAGTAACGGAGTCCTCCTGCCCTTCTATGATCCTGATACTAACGTGGTCTACCTGTGTGGAAAGGTAAATGCTTCTGTTTCAAATAAATCCTGTTATTTTGGAATTTCTGTTCCTATTTTGGAATGTGTCACTGTTTTCTTTAAAAAACATGAAGCAGCACAACAGTTGTCAACGTGGATAATAATAAGAAATGTTTCTTTAACACCAAATCAGATCATATTAGAATGATTTCTTAAGGATCATGTGACACTGAAAACGGGAATAATGGCTCCTGACAATTCATCAATTCAGAATGAAATTGTACATTTAAATTGCAGTAATATTTTACAATATTACTGTTTTTACTGGATTTTTAGTCAAATAAATGCAGCCTTGGTGAGCATAAGATACTTCTTTCAAGAATAGTAAAGTATCTTACTGACTTTTGAATGGTGGTGTTAGGCCTGGGCGATAAAACGGTATCGATATTTATCGACAGTACACCTTCGATAACGATATAAAAATTTTTTTGATATAGTGCACGATATAGGCACGTGCCTTGAGTGACGCAAACAGCAAACACGAACACATGCTGAATTGAGTGCTGTGCCTGCCTGTGATGAGATTGTGAATAAAATAAATTAATATTAGTCGAATTTAAAATAAACATTTGCATTTGAATGTTAGGAGTGCGTCAGGGAGCGTCATCAGTGGCGCACGAGATGCGGTGATAATGATGTAAGTGACGTTGTTGCATTTTAATGTTTTGTTAGTCTAGCCCACGAGACGCGCCGCTGCTGCATTATGCATTCAAAATATTAGAGAAATATAGAAGCTCAATGCGGAGATCTAGATTAGGTGAAAACCGAAACCAAGCCATTCACACAGATGCATAATTAAAGCATTTTTAGTCGGACAAATATGACTGCTGCACTCGCGTCACACACAAGAGATGTAGCCATGCAAAATTAAAACAGTTTAAACTTTTAGAAAACACGTCGCGAATTTGCGGAGGTTTATTTCTTTTCACTGCGTCTCATATGTTTTTAAATGCAATCTAAAACAATCGATGCAATCGATGGGCGATTCGGCTCTTTGTATTAAGCAATGCATAAATACATGGTGCTGTTTTGTTCATAATTGTTTATGCAATTTACGAAATTATATTTGATTTATATGAGTTAATTTAGACGTAATGCAGGTTTTTTTTATAGATATTTATTTCCTTGCGATAACAATTTAAATGTGCTGCATTATTTTGCTCATTGCGCCCTCCTGTGGCATCCGGAGACAAGCCAAAAGTTTCCTTAAGACCTATTTAATATATAAAACATTAGAAATTAGATATTTGTTTAATTTTTATTGCGTGTTTGACTGTTAAAACAAAAAATATTTTTTTTTCTCAATAAATTGGGTTAATTTAAAAATACAGTGGTTAAATTAAAAAAAAAAATTCTATGGCTCTTTGTTTTACAAAAGGTTATAAAAAATGTCAATAATTATCGATACCGAACTATATGAAACATTATATCGTTGATGCATTTTTTAGCTATATCGCCCAGTCCTAGGTGGTGTACACCTGGATGTTTAGAATTGGTTATGTTGTTTTGGAAATGGTACAATGGTTCTGACTGATGTTTTGTCTCTAATAGGGTGACAGCAGTATCCGTTACTTTGAGATCACAGACGAAGCTCCTTTTGTCCATTACCTCAACACCTTTACCACTAAGGAGCCTCAGAGGGGCATGGGATACATGCCCAAGAGAGGGCTGGATGTCAACAAGTGCGAGATCGCAAGGTATAGCAAAAAAATGTATTAAGATGATAGCAGGATGTGGGAGAATCTCATGAAACATCAGGAATATGACCAGGTCATATTTCACCCCAAAATAGGTTACATTTATTTTTGTTTTATCCTATTTTTAGGACCATATGTGACCCTGGAGCACAATATATCGCTGGAGTATATTTGTAGCAATAGCCAAAAATACATTGTATGGGTCAAAATTATAGATTTTTCTTTTATGCCAAAAATCATTAGGATATTAAGTAAAGATCATGTTCCATTAATATATTTTGTTAATTTCCTACCGTAAATATATCAAAACTTCATTTTTGATTAGTAATATGCATTGCTAAGAACTTAATTTGGACAACTTTAAAGACGATTTTCTCTATTTAGATTTTTTTGCTCCCTCAGATTCCAGATTTTCAAATAGTTGTATCTCGGCCACATATTGTCCTATCCTAACAAACCATACATCAATGGAAAGCTTATTTATTCAGCTTTGGGAGCTTTTTATGGTGTATAAATCTCAATTTCAAAAAATTGACCCTTATGACTGGTTTTGTGGTCCAGGGTCACACATAGTATTTCCACATTGCATTTGTTTTTACATATATGCTGATTTAAATACAATAAATAAATAAAGTAATAGAGACGGGATGGATTTCTTATTATAGTAATGACAATGACAAATAGAGCATATGCATAATTGTCATTATAATAATGTGTTAATTTAATGGGTAAAAAATGTATTTATATGCATGTAATTTTTTCTTTTTGTTTTAAGGTGAAATATCACCTGGATGTTTCTTTGTAAGATTTTTTTTTTTTTTTTTTGATTGGTTTGTTTATATATTATGTAGTTGATTTAGTCTAGGTTTTGCTGGTTTTTCATAAACTTCTAAAAATTTTCAGGGCTCCAGACTGCGCCGCATTTATTACCAAAAGTATTAATTTGCAAGTGACGTTTTTGCTGAGATCACCACTGGCGACTATATAAATTTACATGTAAAACATTTGCATGTAATGCCTTTTATCCTGCTTGTTTTGCCATCACATCATTTGTTATGTTGACGTAATAAACTGAGACGATGCGCATCAAAGTTTTAGTGGAAAAAGTCCTCATCTCTGCCGAACGCCAGCGATGACGGCACACCTGCTGCTCCAGTTGTGGCAGCATGAGAGAGACCGAAAATGACGGAGACGTGTGAAGTAAAAATGCAGAAAAGCAGTGCCTATTTCGTGCACAACTTGAACAAACTACAACAGGTAAAGCTGTCAGCTGTGTGGACATTAGCAGTGTCGTTAACAATTCTCGTTTATAATCGATACCAATAATATGGCTTCTTGTTATCAAGATCTTTAGTCTATATGCTGTTCTGTTAATGCGTGAACTTTATAATATTTGTAGCGCACTTGCCATCCCGTAATCACAATAAGCTTTGTGCTCTGTTACCTTTTAATAAACAAAGTATCAGCTTTCAAATTCTGCTGAATTCATAACGAAATTCAAACAATCGCTCTTTAATGTGGGATGAGCGATCGCTTTAGCGCCTCAGTTCAAGCGGCACATGAACCCATCATATCTTTCTCTTTATTACTATAGTACGAAATAAACGTGAATGCGGAAAAGCTTTTAAACAATGCCACGTAACAATATATTTACCTCTGATTAACCATTTGGCATCCATAAGCTCATCAGTCAGCTAGAAAAATAACTATAAAGAGGAGCATTTTGCTAAATATATGCGCTATATTCGGGGGCGTAGCCATCATTTCAGAAGTGAGGGGGACAGAAATGTTTAAGCGCTCCGCGATGTTTATCTCGCCTTATTCTGGGTCCGAATAAAACATCAGATCATGCACAGACTATCCTGTCTCTTTTAATTTAAATCTATATTTATTCACACCAGCTCTTGAAAACCTCTATGCGAACACACTTGCCCGAAAAAGTGCGGGGGACGAATTTACGTGATATTAAAAGTGTGGGGGGCGGGGACACGTCCCCCGCGTAATCTACGCCCCTGGCTATATTGCATAGTCATATTTTTTACTAAACCTGTTGTCTACATAAAAAAAAAAGAATGCAAGGAGCTAAAGATAAAATTCAACACCTCCTATAATTGCATGTAGCTAATGAAGAAAAATATACTAGATGTGTGAAAGACACATGACAACATTTATAGGATGCATTGAGGAGGAGCCCAAACTACACTCATTGGCAAAATAATGCTGACAGTTGTGGTCCGTGATATTGGCACAGACTCGGTGTAATAAGCAGTTCTTTGTGACTGTTTATAGTTGTCAAGCTGGAAAAGACGTATAGAATCTTAGTTCCCAGGACATCTACAAGATTGATTAAAATGAGTGCTGTCAAGCGATTAATCGTGATTAATCGCATCCAAAATAAGTTTTTGTACTGTGTATATTTATTATGTATATATAAATACACACACATACAGTATATATTTTGAAAATATTTACATGTATTTACTTATATAATTTATATTATATATAAATATATTTAATATACAAATATAACATATTTTTTCTTAAATATATACATGCATGTGTGTGTATTTATATATACATAATAAATATACACCGTGTACACATATTATGCAAACAAAAATGTTTATTTTGAATGCGATTAATCGTTTGACAGCACTAATTAAAATGCTGATAAAAACAAGAAAAGATGAAACAAACACATGACAGTATGACTGAAAAAAAAAAAACGAAAACACGTATATTCTGAGGCACCTAAAAAATTACTTAATTTTTTTTGGGGGGGTTAATGTCTGGAGCCCTGTTTTTAATGTTGAGTGTAGTTGTCAACACCACTGCATGCAGGGAAGATAGAAGAGTCCCAATCCTCCCAAAAGAGGGCAGCAGTAGACCTGGTTAACAAAAGGCTACTGGGTCTTCCAGAATCAAATTTATATTTCTAACAAGGAGTGATGCATGAATAGAGGTTCTGTTTTGTGGGTATCTAAGGCTCACGTATAATTGCTTGGTGTATGGTGGTATTTCCCTGTCTCACACCTTCTGCACTAATGTCTGCTACCCTCGTGATCATGTTCTAATAGACCTGTGTGCTTGTGTGTGTTCTCAGGTTTTACAAACTGCATGAGAGAAAGTGTGAACCTATCATCATGACCGTGCCAAGAAAAGTGAGCCTTTTGAGTCGTTTTGCTATTTTGTTTTGAAGAGTACAGGCTGGACTGTATATTCTGAGGCACAGCTTCCTCCTGCTTTGGCTTCTGTTTTCTGGCATTGTCAAAGAGATTAAGAGACAAAAATAGAAAGCTTTGTTTACTTAATCCCTTTGTTTTTAATAAGGGTTCACTGAAAAGAATAACCCTCTGACCCAGGACCAGTGTGAGATCATTTAGGGCCAGCGCTGCCAAGATTTTCACTAGCCATATTAAAAACTTTTAGCTTTGTGTGTTGTTTACATTTGCTGAAAATGTTTGTAATTAACATTTAAATGTTCAAATATATATTTAAACAAATAAAAAGCAATACATATTAAGCTCTGAATATCTAGGTGTACACTATTTTTCAAAGGTTTTAGGGTCAGTAAGATATTTTAGTGTTTTTGATATTAATATTGTGAATTTAAATATTATTATAATTGAATGTAACTGTTTTCAGTATTTTAAATTGTAATTTATTCCTGTAATGACAGCTGAATTTTCAGCAGCCATTCTTTAGTTTTACATGATCCTTTAGAAATCATTAGATTATGCTGATTTGTACTGCTTAATATTTTTGTAAAGACATATTGCCGTACAACATTCAAAAGATGTTGAAATGAAAACATTTTGTAACATTATGAATGTCACTTGATCAATTTAATGCATCCTGGCTGTATTAGTTTATTATTAATTTATTTATTTTCTAAAAACTTAATGAACCCAACCTTTTGAATGCTATAGTAATATATGGTATATAATATATTGAAAAATATAAATATTGTTTCCAAAAAATATAAAAATACATGGACAACAAAAGAATGATCAAAAGCCATAAATTCAAAAAATAGCTTTGACACCATGCAACTGAACTCTGCATCTGCGTCTCTACTTTTGCATGATTGATTGAATGATTTGCATGATTCATATCCTGCATATCTTAACAACTAATAACACTCTTCCCTCCATCAGTCGGACTTGTTCCAGGATGACCTTTACCCCGACACGGCGGGTCCGGATGCCCCCCTGGAGGCCGAGGAATGGTTTGAAGGGAAGAACGGAGAACCTGTCCTGATATCCCTGAAACATGGATACATCCCAGGCAAGAACCGTGATCTCAAAGTGGTCAAGAAGAACATCCTAGACAACAAGATGAGCAAGAATACAGAGAATACTGCCCCTGCCGTCAAGACTGCCACCTCCACACCATCTATCGTAAGTGGGACTCATTTGGTAATTTACTTTTTCCTCTTCGTTTTATCATCCTACACTATTCCGTTTTGCTTTTCTGTGCACTTTTTCCTCCTAAATCTCAATTCTCTGCACTAAATTCCCTGAAAAAATATATAATAAACTATTTCTTTAGCTCTATTGCACTGTGCTTCAGTTGTGACCTACATGCAGCTAAATTATTGTATTGTTCAAGGCCAACTTCTCTTTTTGGCTCATATA